GTGAACAAACTCAGCATAAACAAGCTCAGAGCTAAAACACCAACACACACACACACACACACACACAGTGAGTGTTTTTCCACATATAGTCCTATCTACGCAAACACACTGACATACACCATGAAAGGAGGCTTTCAAGCGGCAGAGGAGAGACACGTCTATGAGCACAGAAACACACACAGCGAAGCACTTACAGCCGGGTGTAGCTGCTACACAGGAGGAAAGGAAAGGAACAGATTGAGGTGCAGAAGGACACGAGGAACAAAAAGCACAAGGAAGAGAGAGAAACGGGAGGACGTGGTTAGATCGCTGATCTTAAGGTGTGGAGTTAGTTAGACATGGAGCCGTAACACACAACGGTCAGTATTAGTGCTGGGCGGTATGATGGTATCATGCAACGCAAAACATTTTACTATGCTGCGCTAGAGCCAAATGCATGGATATTAGTTTTAATAAGTCAAGCTGAACTTGTTATTAAAGCCAAGTGTAGTTGTTTACGGGTGCAATGTCGCAGATCATCCAATCACACTTTAGATTCTGTTCCATAGGTTTTATAGTGTTAATATGACTGTTTTTGTGTGTTTTGTTTAATAATGTGAAGCTGTTTCTGAACTAATGTCAGACAGAACATTCATTTGCTATGAATAATCTTTTGGTTTGGTTATACCATATATATATATATATATTTATTGTATAGTATATATATATATACTGTGTTTAGGAGTGCGTTTTGATCAAATCCACTTCAAAAATGTGCAGTTATCAGATAAGAGGATAAACTGTTCATTCCTTAGTGTTTGCAATGGATAAAATAATACATTTTAACATTATAATGGGTGACTGGCTCTGTGCAAGTTCTCTACGGGTGGAAACGAGGGAAGCTGGACTTACCTGGGAACTGGTATGTGTATCCTGGTGTGATTCCTGTGTATCCACGACTGGCGTAAGTGGCCGTCTGGAACCCTGGGTAACCTGAAAATGAACAGAGAAAGCATAGTGTTTAAGGCAAGGCAAGATTATTTGGTAACACTTTCCAATAAGGTCTCATTTGTTAACATCAGTTAGTGCTTTAACATGAACTAATAATGAGCATTTTTACAGCAGTCATTAACCTTTTTTAATGTTAGTTAATAAAATGGTTTGTTTATGTTCACAGTGCATTAACTAATGTTAACAACTTTTCATTGTAATAATGTATTAGTAAATGTTGAGATTAACATGAACTATGATTAATACATATTTTAGAAGTATTTTTCATTTTTAGTTCATGTTAACTAAGGTTTACAAAGTTATACCAATTATTTATACAGCACATGTCATATAAAATGATAACTGAAAGCAATAATTCATAATATAATATTTTTACTAACTCACAATTAATGGTTGCACTAAATCACAATTGAATGCACCTTCATAAATTAATTTTAACTTACTTATAAATGTAAATATTATTTATTTTATGTCATTATTTTTCATTATTATTGCATTTGCCTTAGTGACTGCTAAATTATTAATTGTGAATATAAATGAAATAAAAACAGCCATTTTAACTGTTATATGGGTTATTTGATGTATTTTGCCATTTTTTTCTTGCAAAACTTTTTTGTTTTCAACTCTGATTTGTGTCAAACTCACAAACGCGCAGACACAAGTGCAGTTTCCTGTTGTAAACAGCAGGGAGCGCCAGACTGACGCTGGATTTGCTCACATTGATGAGTTTACTGAGATTATTTGCCTTTTCCTTCTTTTAACTCACCCAGCATGCCGATACCCAGCATGAAGGCGTCCATGCCGTAGGGCATCACCCTGGAGCGGCCTCGCGCCGTACCTGTTGGTGACATCACTTCCTTCGGCTGCGCCTTTTTGCACTCCACCTTCAAAATCATAAACGAGTTCTCTTTAATATCAAGTCATTCTAGTTAATTCTAGACACCTTTCGAGACTTGTTTAAACAAAAAAATAGGAGAAGCATCTGAGACAAAATTGACATTGAAATTTAAATGAAATACAATTCCATTTTCCATTAGAGAATTTATTTCATCTTTTATTTTATTTTTAATTCTTGAAAAGAGTTTTAGAAGAAACATCTGAGATGAAGGTGATATTGAAGAATAAGTACAAATGAAAAGTCAATTATATTATCCTGAGTTTTTTTGAACTTTTGAGCCCAGATTGTTTTTGCTTTTTATGGATCTTTTTTTCTTCACTTTTTATTTCTTCAAATGAATTTTACATTTGAGACAAAGTTGACACTTTAAATGACTAAGAACTGAGAAACTCAATAAAGTCCATGGAGGTCTGAATCAGCAACGTTTGAGCAGTAAAATATTCCTCAAGTAAAGAAACAAGAGAAATCACAAATGAAATCTCTTTAATATCTCATCAAGTTATTGTAGTAATTTCTAGACACCAATCAAGAATTTTGTCAAGCATCTGCGACAAAGTTGAAACTTGAAATATAATTCTATAAAAGAGTAATTTTTGAGCAATTAAAATTTCCTTTAGTAAGAGAATGCATATTTTTTTGATAATCCAGTGATTTAAATACTTTATGTACATGTAACATTGCCATAATAAATTTGATATATAATGCATATTTTTGGATAACCTAGTAATTTAAATTTCCAAATTTCAAACTTTTATTTATTTTAAATTGTTTTACATCTATATATAGACATACAGATAGATAGATAGATAGATAGATAGATAGATAGATGATAGAACGACAGATAGAACGACAGACAGATAGATAGATAGATAGATAGATAGATAGATAGATAGATAGATAGATAGATTAGATTTTTGTGTGACATTCTCCAAATGAATTTTAGGAGAAACATTTGAGACGTATCATGAACGTATTAAAAAGGTGTTTTAAACACGCAGTCACACACACACACACACACACACACACACACACACATACAGACAGTGTTTCATAGCAGGACACACTCTCACCATCTTGTTGTTGATCTCATGAAAGTGGATCTCGCAGACCTTTTCCACCACGTCTTCATTCTCAAAGGTCACAAAGCCAAAACCTGCACAGCAAGGACACACATGCACTCTTTACCAATCACAAACATAGCATTGCTTTCAAACACTGAATCTAGTGTGTTTATCTTGTCCAGTTGCGTCCGATTTGATCCTGGCGTGACCTTTCCCTCTTTTACTTTCTCATTCTCTGTATTCTCTTTTGTTCTGTTTCCATCTGTTCATATATTCAGTCCATTCTGTCAGGAGGTTAGCTCCTCACCTGCTGCATTTACCTGTCCTACTCGACCCCGCCCACTCATCTGTCACTCACTACAGGCTCCGCCCACCGGCTGTCAGTCAGACTTTCCTTGCCAAAGTGAATGACGGTTTAACCTCTGAACTACTAACCAGCTCAGCAGCACCAAACCCATATTACCCTGCATGAACTTTTTAGCAATGCCTCTAAATAGAGAGGAGACTGACGAGAAGAGAAAAGATGGGAAGAGAAGATCTCTAATATCTCATCAAGTTATTAAAAAGCAACCTTTGAGCAATTATTTTTTCTTCATAAATCTGGTTGATCTTTTTTTTTTCTCCAAATGAAAGTTGATGCTTAACTGAAGTATAAATGAGAACTCAAGTATTATAAAATATTCCTCAAGTATAAGAGAAATCCCAAATGAGTTATTCTATTATATTCCTATTCTATAAAATAACATATACTATTATATTATATATACTTATTCTTTACTATATTATTTCAAGACACAAATTGAGACTTGTGTCAAGGGCACGTTTAGGAGAAGTTGATATATATTAAATGAAATATAACTCCATTAAGTCTTCTGAACTATGAGCCATGAACGATCAACCTTTGAGCAGAAAATGTGTTCTTTTCTTTTTAATTCTCAAATAGAAAAGATAGTGAGGTTAATAGTTCATACTGAACTTTTGAGCAGTCAAATATTCCTCAATTTATTCTAGTTATTTCTAGACATCAATTCCAACAAATACATTAATTCATTAATTAAGAGAGGTTTCTGAGACAAAGCTGACACTTAAAATATAAATAAAAAATGAATATAACTCCATTAAGGTTCCTGAACTATGATACTGAGGCATAAGTATAAATGAGAACATTATTTCTCCTAAGTTATGAATTAGCAACTTTTTTGCAGTAAAATATTTCTCAAGTATGTTTAAGATCTCTTTATTCTAGTATTTCTAGACATCAATCAAGATATCAAATATCAACGTTGATATTGAAATATAAAATAACTACATTGTCTCCTTAACTATGAGCTATGAAAGGGAAACCTTTGAGAAATTAAATTTGACTTTAGAGAATTTACTCCATCTTTTATATATTAGTTTATATCTTTTATATCATACATTTGAGACAAACTTGATACTGAAGCATAAGTATAAATAAATGAGAATGCCAATATGAATGTGCAACTTTTGTGCAATAAAATATTCCTGCATCTAAAGGCAAAGCTGACATTAAAATATAAAGGAAATATAACTCCATTAAGCCTCCTAAACTATGAGTTATGAAAGAAACAGTCTTTCAGCAATTAAATTTGACTTTAGTAAGGGAATTGTTTCCATCTTTTATTTATTTTATATATGATTTGATTTATTTATTTATTTTATATTATATATGGATTTTTGTTTCAGTTCTTCAAGTGTTTTAGGAGAAACATCTGAGACGAAGTTGATACTAAAGCTTACGTCTCCTGAGTTATGAATGAGCAACGTTTGAGCAGTAAAATATTCCTCAAGTTCAAGAAGAGACGAGACGAGACTAGCATCAGCTCCTGAATGACTGCAGAAGCATGTAGACACTTGACTGCTGTTGTATAATTATATGACTCAACGAGGCTTTGAATGCGGCGAGCGTGTGCATTTGCATGTGTGCGCGCCCGAATGCCGCCTTACCTCGGTGCCTGTTGGTGGTTTTGTCAAACATTAGCATCGCGTCATCAACCTGCAGACAAAACACACACACACAAAAGAGAGGGATGAGACACTAAGCCATTACCCAGCATGAGGCTCTATTGTGAGGCTCTGGAGAAACAGAGAGGGGCAGCAGATGGAGGGGCCGAGCGGGGAGGGGGAACAGAGAGAGAGAGAGATAGAGATGGATGAGAGAAAGAGAAGAAAGACAATATGGATGGAAGCGAGAGAAAGGAGCTGAAATAAAAGAAGAGAAAGCGATGGCTGTGAACACTTTGAAGCACCTCAGCTTCAGCAAACAACTTTCTTTGTTCTTGATGTTTCATAAGATCACAACTGGTTTTGCTTTAAGACCCATCAAATGGCAAGTTAAAAGATATAAATACAAGTTATTTCTGGAACTTCAAAAAGCGTAATCGTGCTTAATTTAAACACTTGATTTATTTTCACATGCATTTTTAATGCTGAAGGAAACGAAATTCCGGATCATTTTGTCCAAGTAACTTCCATGATTTCTGTGATTATATAGGATTTTAAAAAATAATTTTACAGGGAGATATATACATAAAAATATATCAGACAAATGTATAATGATTATAGAAATTTAAAAAAAAAAAACAGAAAGATTTTATATATAAATATTTTAGAGTGGAATATAACTAGAAATTATTATTGACTAAAAATGTCCATGACTTTTCCAGGTCTTAAAATTGTCTGATATCCTGTTGTACATGATTATATAATAAGAATTTTTTTTTTTTTACAAATTTTGTAGAAATTCACACACAAGAAATACATCAAGCTGATTTTAGAGTCAAAGTCTAACTAGACAATTTTATATTGACTATAAAAAATTCCACAACTTTTCCAGATCTTAAAATTCTCTGATATCCTGTTGTACATGATTATATAATAAGAATTTTTTTTTTTTTTTTTACAAATTTTGTAGAAATTCACACAAAAGAAATACATCAAGCTGATTTTAGAGTCAAAGTCTAACTAGACAATTTTATATTGACTATAAAAAATTCCACAACTTTTCCAGATCGTAAAATTCTCTGATATCCTGTTGTACATGATTATATAATAAGAATTTATTTTTTTTTTTTTACAAATTTTGTAGAAATTCACACACAAGAAATACATCAAGCTGATTTTAGAGTCAAAGTCTAACTAGACAATTTTATATTGACTATAAAAAATTCCACAACTTTTCCAGATCGTAAAATTCTCTGATATCCTGTTGTACATGATTATATAATAAGAATTTATTTTTTTTTTTTTACAAATTTTGTAGAAATTCACACACAAGAAATACATCAAGCTGATTTTAGAGTCAAAGTCTAACTAGACAATTTTATATTGACTATAAAAATTTCCACAACTTTTCCAGCTCTTAAAATTCCCTGATACCCTGTTGTGTGTGATTATATGATGAGGATTTAAAAATAATAATAATAATAATTATAATTATAATAATTTTACAGTGATTCACACACAAGAAGCGATTGAGGCTGATAAAATACTTTAGAGTGAAATATACCTAAACCAATTTTTTTTTTACTACAAAAACTTTCATGACTCTTAAAATTCTATGATATCCTGTTGTGTAATAATAACAACAACAACTTTACAGTGATTTACACACAGGAAGCATTTCAAGCTGATAAAATATTTTAGAGCAAAGTACAAATTTTCACTATTACCATTATTTTTCCAGATCTTAAAATTAACTAATATCCTGTTGTACGTGATTATATGATAGGAACTTAAAAATATATATAGAAATTCACACACGAGAAATAAATCAAGCTGATGAAATATTTTAGAGCAAAGACTATTTTATATTGACTATAAAAATTTCCACAACTTTTCCAGATCTTAAAATTCCCTGATATCCTGTTGTGTGTGATTACATGGCAAGTTTTTAAAAATATTTTTTTTAGTGGTTCACACACAATAAACAATTCAAACTCATAAAATAATTTAGAGAGAAATAAACTAAAAAAATATATATATATGTTTAAATTATTTTACATATTGCACAAACAAAAAGCAATTCAAACAAATAAAATATTTTAGAGGAAAGCATAACCAGGAACATTTATTTTTGCAATATAACTTAATTTTCCTTCAAATTCCCTGACATTTCTATAGGTTTTCCATGAATGTAATAACCCTGGAAATTGTTTGTGGAGAATACAACAGAGAAACCAGCCCAGAAATAAAAAACGGAGGTGCAAACACATATCCCTCTCTCTCATTAAACAGACGTCCATGTCCACGAACATCTCTCATTCCGATCCCTCCCGCCTCAGAGTTTGTGGGGGGAAATCTTTTCAATAACGCTCTCTGTCCTGTTCCCCCTTTCTCTTCAAACCCTCTCCAAAGTTTACTATTCCCATGGAGACTCTGCAAAGAATTTCAATTAGAAGAATTGACCCCCTCCCTCGCTTCTCCTTTCATGAACAGAACAGAGAGAGAGAGAGACGAGGAGCTGGATAATGGCTGCAACGAATAGTACTGGACAAATCAACTTTGACAGAGAGACACCAATATGTGTTCAGTGATGAAGCAAAGATCAGGCTGAAAATATTACAACAGAGGAGAAATCTGCTAAAGCTATAAACTTATTTAATCTGTCCTAACTTTTTATAAAATTTCATAAGTCTTCTACCCATCAACAGGCACAAATTATTTTAAAGACATACCATCTAACGCTTGATTACACATAATATCATATGCTGTTCACAGAATCAATCAAAAACAGATGTGTTTGGATGGGTCATATTTAAATCCATTACAAAATAGCTCATCTGTGACCGAACCACACATTCATTAAATTATATACTGCTGCTACAATTATTTGTTTACAGCATAATCTTTGATCATAATGTTGCTTGGCAACCCATAAACTGCCTACAGTTAGGCTAATGAACAATATTATTACTTTGTGAAAGAATTGTTTATTAGTGGCAAGCATCACTCGCTATTACTATTTGCACATACTGAAACTAGTTATGATTGTTATCTATTTTAATTTTAATTACAGAATTATAGAATTATAATTATAGAATTTTAATTACAGCTGAAATTAATTGATTTTAATCATGTAATTATATATATATAAATATATATATATATGGAAAATATAAATCTATCTAAAATGTAATTAATTAAATTTAATGATATAATAAATAAATATTTATATATAATTTAAAAAAACATTTAT